TTCCGTATACTTAACCAAAAGTGTGAAAGGGCAACTTATGTTGATAAAATAACAAATTACGACACCTTGTCAACCCTTGCTAAACTACGTCTTAGGCTCTGTTCTCACAACTTTTAGATCGATCTATCACCGCGGGGAGTCTCACTAGATTACTGTCAGATAATCCCCCTTAAGTGTCCGTCCCCGCCTACTACAAGCTTTAAGGGGTAATTAACTTTCGTGTCCGCCCGGCTGACAGCTATTTAGCGTGAACCCCCAGGGAGTTAGGTCGATCCAATGTAGGTCGATCTAATCTATGAGAATGGGGTGTTAGTGACCATAAACTCCACATCGAAACTGGGCGGCACACCAGGCCAAAAACTGAAAGGTGCGACAGAATCTGTCGCCTGTGCACACAAGGGGTAATTGAGGATGAATACCATTTTATATTCCAATGCCCAATGTACAAAACAGACCGAGTCACCTTTTTCAGTAAATCCTCATTCCTAAAAGCTGATTCAAGGTCACCAGACAGTCAATTATGCCATGTATTTAACAGTGCCAACAAAGATACTTTGGTGTCCCTCTCCAACTTTATAATCAAATCATTCAAGAAAAGAAGTGAAATGGTTGCTCTGCTTGGTAACTCTTAGCATATCCCTTAAAATGTCAGTGTATGGTCCCACTGTTGTGAGAAGTGACTCGGCAGTGGGACTGAACATGGCACAGTATTTATATCTGTGTAACTTATTTACTTATCTGTCTTATGTAATTGTCATTAATCGTAATTATCAATGTCATCAAACTGGCCTTGAACAGCCATGTAAACAGCTATGTAACGGTGGTTTTAAGTTTTTTAAAAACATATTCTTTTTGTGTAACATGTTTATAGTATGTTTATGGTAAATTTATAATCAGGTTTATCTCATTGCTTAGATAAAATATTTTATGAGTAATTTTACTACATGTAGTACTAATCTTCATTATATAAAAAGATGGTAATGCACTAACTGTATTGTATCGTCATTTGTATATCATATTGTACAAGGTCATGACAATCTATGTACCAGTACAGAAATAAATTGAATTGAATTGAAAAATAACTGCTCGTTACGCAACCCGTCTAAGGCTCCGCTATCTGCTGAAACTAGCCACGTGATTAAGGCCATAGCAATTAACTGTCTTGATTGCTGTCAAGCGGACTTAGACTGGACCTGCCAATTGGCAGTACCTGAGCAGTTATGCAAACAATTACCAGCCATGTAATCAGCCTTGAGATTCTATTACAGGGTGACATCAGACCAAAATGACTGTCTAGATCTGTCCATTTATATAGAGACATACCTGTGAATATCTGTGGAAAATCAATCTGTCGCCCTGGTAGAGGGTATATATATAGATCTATACCATTTCCAATAGATTGTGCTAATTACCAGACAGTACAGTCACTTTGCAATCCAAAGCATGCATGCTCTCTATAATGAGAAGATTTAAAGGGGTCCTTTGGGTCAGTCTGAGCCAACTCCCATGGTCAGTGAATAGCCAACACTTCATAGGAAATTACGTATCTTGAAAAATAAGTACCATGCATGGAACTTTTGACAGTCAAAATGGTTTTTATGAGCGCATTCAGAACACTGGACTGATTGACCCCTGGATCAAATATGGCCACTGACTTAAAAACTTGCCGCTTAATTCACGATTAGACACTGGATAGATTCCCCTCAGAGATTACTTAATTAACAAGCATGCAAGTGGGTCGGCCATATTTGATCTGTGGATCTGTTAGTTCGCTGTTCTGAATACTCTCTTTTAACGCTCCTTGCTAAAAATAAAACTGCTATTTGGTTGCTATGTGTCACAAATAACAGCGCTACTCCCGCCCTTGAGTGGATATTTTAAACTCGTTTTGGCAGACTGAATATTTTGCTTTCAAATATGAGTATATATTCACTCTGATATACATGTATCTCATGATATACCTCGACCAGGGCAACAGATTGATTTTTCACAGATGTTTCGAGATAAACAGACAGTCATTTGGCTCTGTGTGGATTTTCCCGTTTTTCTTTATATAATCTGCCACCCTGGTATAGAGGGTATACTCATGATATTGGGCAAAGCTACAATGTCTACTGATGACCGAATGAGACCACATGTATTTGAAATATTCTTCAACATTTTTCTTCCGCATTGTACTTGTCGATGTCCTCGTACAGTTTTTCCTCAAACTTTCCCAGAGTAAGAACATCGCTGTCTGAGGCCAGGAGGACATCCAAGGAATTAACGATGTCTTTAAATGTTGAACGTGCACTTGGGACCTCTTCCCAGCAGGACGACATGATGATGTACCTGGAGTGAGAAGTAACACACAGGGAGTCGGACTATAAGTAATTGAGACATTATTGCTCATGATTCAGTAAAATTAAACTTGCCAAGCATTACAATTTGTAATACACATACATATTTATATATCAAAATTAACATTGTATACTTACATGCCCAGTGAACAGTGTGGTGGTTGTGGCATCCGGTATCCTTCAGTTATAGCTTCCATCACCTGCTTGGCTGACATACCAGGATAGGGACTGGAACCTAACCAATATGAGCAGCAGTGAGAATTGTACTCATGTAAAATACTGCAAAAATTGTCACTAATAAATAAAAGAAACTATACTTAGCAATCTGATCAAGATTACTGAAGATACACATTGTGTGAATGAAAATTCAGTGCCAAATATTACACAAATAATAATAATGATAATATTAATATTCAGACAGATAATAATTATCATAACATTTATTATTTACTTATTCATTTACTGTTTGCACCACATTCCTGGGATACAGAAGATATTTATTGAAAGGATACAAGATATTGAATAACAATCTGTAATTCTCAAAATTAAAATACAACAGTCATACATGGCATCAGAAAAGCACAATAACCCCTTGAACAATAGAACACAAGTGATCACAGTTTCACAATGCTTGTATGCTAAACCTTCTTTCAATATAATAACACGTACTTTCCAAGACTTTTATGAGCTTCACCATCTGGCAATCTTACCCAGTGTGACAATCTCCCAGAGCAAGACGCCATACGCCCAGACATCAGACTGTGTGGTAAATATGTTGTCAAATAGAGCTTCTGAGGACATCCAGCGAATTGGCAAGCGTCCCTGTGAAAGAAAAACATAAAACGTACCTTATATCTGTCAAGTGGTTATTGCAATTGTCATTTGATAACACCTGTCTATTTACACATCCTTACAATGCATTTAAAAATATACAGCTATACTTTAATTGGCAAACACTAAATATATGCTGCTTAAAATTGTACATCCCCTGGGGTTGATTGAGGCCGTCTTCTGGGTCTTCCGGAATCATGTAAATCACCAGCAGTAACACTTCTTGAAGTCTGCTAGTACTGATAATGGATAAAATAACTATCCAAGATTGCTAATGCTAAGTTTCAGGTCAGAATGCAAAGTAAATATATTTTGGTTTTTATGTACAAAAGCATTTACTAACCTGCGATTGTTTTTCGTAAGTGTGGGTTTTGATGACATCCTTTGCAAAGCCAAAGTCCGAAATCTTGCAGGTCCTATCTTCAGCTACCAAAATGTTTCGTGCAGCAAGGTCTCGGTGGAGAATCTACAATGTAAATATTGAGATTGTTGATCTCACAGTGTAATGAAAATAATAGCACATCTTATTTTCTTTTAAAGTTTATTAGAAAGTGATCTTTACTGACTATGAGGCAAAAAATGGTAATATAGAAAATGGACAAAATAAGCAATAAGAAAGAATTATCTGCTTTCATAAGACAATTGTTTATCCTAGCTTACCGCCATTGATGAAAGATATGACATTCCATTAGCCACATCTAATGCAAACTTTATCAGATCATGTGGTGTCAAGGAGGAGCTGATCCCATGTAAATTCCCATACCGCACTTCCCGTTTTGAACGGTCATTTCGTAGGTAGTCCTGGAGATTTCCATTTGGAAGGTACTCGACAATAATCAATGGCACAGCTAAAATAAATCACTTCAATTTATCTTCAAAGAATTTGTCAATTTACTTTAAGGTTGGAAGTTTACCATTTATATACAGGTGTTCCAAAGGAAGCTATTGAAATTGCAAAAAAAAAGCAGAAAAAATTCTGAAGTAAACGGGTTCATACTCAGTACTTTACTTTTATGGTGCGTATTCTTCACCACTGACGT